ATGGCCTGCAAATAATGCCCTATCATCGTACCCACCATCTCTACTGTGGATTAAGGGATTAAATGTTTGTGGGCTTTAACCACAAAGTGTCAAAAAGCAACCTCATCATAAACCTGTCATTTAAGGCCAAAGAAACAGTAAGCTCAAGAATTACTTTAAGTATCTGTAGCATGGTGGAGTCAAGATCACTGAGGCACAAAAACAGTTTCAAGGTACTTTCCAGAGTCTGAGAGCTATCCATATTCCTGCTAAACCTAAAAGGAAGCACATAAGCCTACTTGATCATTTAGTCTGCACAGACTATAGAGAACATGAAGCACAGGGAATGTTAACAATCAACTCTTATACAGCTTTTTATGTCATCAAGGGTTGTTGTCTTATTACATGAAGGTGCCAACCACATCTAACCCAAGCAGATCTCAGAACCAGGGATCTCTAAGCTTCTTTGATAGGGGTATACCATCAGTATAAAATCTGGGCACCTACTTTCTACAGGTATATATATATAATTATATATTCCTGTAGTGAACTGAATGATATGACCCTTTCTCACATCCCACACCAAAAAGTCTTATATATACTTTTATATATTTTATAGTCAGGGGCACTAAATCATTATATATATATCCCAAACCTGTAAAGGTAATCTTATTTGTTAAAAAGACCGTTGCAAATGTAATTAAGAATTTCAAAATAAAATCATCTTACGTAAGTGGGGGCACTAAATCCAAACAACAGAAACAACAGAGACACACAGGAGAGAAGGCCATGTGAAGATGAAGGCAGACACTGTAGTACTGGGTCTAGAAGCTGCCAAGTAATGCCAAGAATTGCTGGCAGGCACCAGAAGCAAAGAGGCGTGGAATGGATTTTCTCTCAGAGCCTCCAGAAGGAACCAAGCCTGATTGCTGACAACACCTTGATTTCAGGCTTCTGGCCTCTATAACTGTTGTTGTTGTTGTTGTTGTTGTTTTAAATATTTTTTTTATTTATTTCTAGGAGAGAGAGAGAGAGACAGCGTGAGCAGGGAGGGTCAGAGAGAGAGGGAGTCACAGACTCTGAAACAGGCTCCAGGCTCTGAGCTGGCAGTCAGCACAGAGCCCGACGCGGGGCTCGAACCCACGAACCGCGAGATCATGACCTAAGCGAAAGTCGGACGCTTAACCGACTAAGCCACCCAGGCGCCCCGATATAACTGTTGTTGTTTTAAGCCTGTTTGTAGTGATTTGTTATGGCTGCCCTAGGAAACTAACACCAGTAAGAATATGTACATTATAAAATTCAATGGTATATATACGGGATGATAAAAGCATGTAAGTAGAAATTCTAACATTTCTTCTTTTTAATTTTTTTAAATGTTTTATTTATTTCTGAGGGGGGGGAGAGGGAGAGAGGGAGGGAGGGAGGGGAGGGGAGGGGAGGGGAGGGTCAGAGAGAGAAGGAGATACAAAATCTGAAGCAGGCTCCAGGCTCTGAGCTATCAGCATAGAGCCTGATGCGGGGATCGAACCCATGAACCATGAGATCGTGACCTGAGCCGAAGTCGGCCGCTTAACCAGACTGAGCCACCCAGGTGCCCCATCTAACATTTCTTTCTATGCCTCAATGGATAATCTGATGCACCATTATGAAGAACACAACTATAGATGAACATGTGGACAGAAATAAAGCCAAATGACAGAGCCAATCTTTAAAAACCCAATGACTATTAAATTCCTTTTATTTTTCCTAAAACACTGACACATGGTGATTTTTCTACTTAAGGCCTAAAAGCTACCTTTCCACTACTTACAGCACTGAGCATTTTGTTTTTCATTATAAATTCAACAATTATTTTTGACATAATGTTTCTGACATCTTTTTTTTTTTTTTTACAAACAGTTTATTGTCCAGTTGGTTTCCATAGAACACCCAGTGCTCATCCCCACAAGTGCCCTCCTCCATTCCCATCTCCCCCCCCCCCCCACACCCCTCAGTCCTCAGTTTGTTCTCAGTATTCAAGAGTCTTTCATGGTTTGCCTCTCTCCCTCTCCCCCACTCTTTCCCCCCTTCTTCTCCCTCTTGGTCCTAATCCTCCTAATCCTCCTATACGTGCAAACATACGGTATTTGTCTTTCTCTGCCTGTCTTATTTCGCTCAGCATAACACCCTCAAGGTCCATCCATGTTGCTACACATGGCCAGATTTCATTTTTTCTCATTGCCATGTAGCATTCCATCGTATAGATAAACCACATCTTCTTGATCCATTCGTCTGTTGATGGACACTTAGGCTCTTTCCATGTTTTAGCTATTGTTGAGAGTGCTGCTATGAACATCGGGGTCCATGTACTCCTATCCATCAGCACTCCTGTATCCCCTGGATAAATTCCTAGCAGTGCTATTGCTGGGTCATAGGGGAGTTCTACTGTTAACTTTTTGAGGAACCTCCACACTGTTTTCCAGAGGGGCTGCACCAGTTTACATGCCCACCAACAGTGTAGGAGGGTGCCTGTTTCTCCACATCCTCGCCAGCATCTAGAGTTCTCTGATTTGCTCATTTTAGCCACTCTGACTGGCATGAGGTGGTATCTCAGTGTGGTTTTGATTTGTATTTCCCTGATGAGGAATGCTGAGCATCGTTTCATGTGTCTGTTGGCCATCTGGATGTCCTCTTTGGAGAAGTGTCTGTTCATATCTTCTGCCCATTTCTTCACTGGGTTGTTTGTTTTTCAGGTGTGTTTGGTGAGTTCCTTATAGATTTTGGATATTAACCCTTTATTGATATGTCATTGGCAACTATCTTTTCCCGTTCCAATGGTTGCCTATTAGTTTTATGGATTGTTTCCTTTGCGGTGCAGGAGCTTTTAATATTGATGAGGTCCCAACAGTTTATTTTTGCTCTTGATTCTTTTGCTTTTGGGGATGTGTCAAGTAAGAAATTGCTGCGGTGGAGGTCAAGGAGGTTGTTTCCTGCTTTCTTCTCTAGGGTTTTGATGGTTTCCTGTCTCACGTTCAGGTCCTTTATCCATTTTGAGTTTATCTTTGTGTATGGTGTGAGAAAATGATCTAGTTTCATTCTTCTGCATGTTGCTGTCCAGTTCTCCCAGAACCATCTGTTAAAGAGACTGTCTTTTTTCCATTGGATACTCTTTCCTGCTTTGTCAAAGATTAGTTGGCTGTACACTTTTGGGTCCACTTCTGAGTTCTCAATTCTGTTCCACTGGTCTATGTGCATGACAACATCATCTTCAACACATTGCTTCACTTATCTTGACTAACATAATAATTAATCATACAATTTAAGAATTCTCACTAGTTAGACAGCAAACAACTATTGACTAAGAAGTCAGAAAAGGCTCCCAGAGTTCAGCTTTGCTAATCTGTTTAAGGACATGCTAACCCTTGGTCTTGCTTTCATTTGAGAGCAAAGAAGTTATATCACAGAGAATACAGTTTCTAACACAGAAATAGTCAACATAATCAAACAAGTTTTTAAAAACAGAAAAAACATAAGGTTGCAACTATGATATAAAGAGAGTAATTTAATTTAATATGTCCATTAACAGGGGACTAGATCAATTGGGGTATATTATAATGAAGGTGATCGATAATTTGTCAACCAACTGGAACACTATAAAGAATACAAAGGGGTGTCATTAGTTTCACTGTCATAAACACTTTAAACTCTTGACTATTCCACGTAAGTCAGGATACTGATTATAATAGAAAATTGTAACAGTTAAAATGAACCGGAGCAACATGTTATCAACATGTTTGGTTTCTAAAATCATTATTAGAAAATATAAGTTGTAGAATAACTAGTGCAACATACCACTTATACATTTCTTAAAAATTTTTTAATGTTTTATTTATTTCTGAGAAAGAGAGAGGCAGCGTGAGTAGGGGAGGGTCAGAGAGAGAGGGAGACACAGAATCCGAAACAGGCTCCAGGCTCTGAGCTGTCAGCACAGAGCCTGATGTGGGGCTTGAACTCACAAACCATATCATGACCTGAGCCAAAAAGTTGGATGCTTAACCAACTGAGCCACCGAGGCGCCCCACGACTTGCACATTTTAAAAACAGAATCATATAGTTTATATAAATGCCCACTCATAATAAAAAGCATAAATGCAAAAATAACAATAGTGACTCTCTATGAGATGGATAAAGGATAACTGAGGTAGAAGAAAAACTAAGAGATTTTAAAATATGATATAAAACAAACAAAAAGGACAAAAAATGTTAGTATGTGTTTGTTCTGGTTTGGCTTGTGGATGTTTATTATATTATTTTCTAAAATATCCTGAATTTCAGGGGCGCCTGGGTGGCTTAGTCGGTTGAGCGTCCGACTTTCGCTTAGGTCATGATCTCGCGGTTCGTGGGTTCGAGCCCCGCATCGGGCTCTGTGCTGACTGCCAGCTCAGAGCCTGGAGCCTGTTTCAGTCTGTGACTCCCTCTCTCTCTGACCCTCCTCTGCTCACGCTCTCTCTCTCTCTCTCTCCTAGAAATAAATAAAAAATATTAAAAAAAAAAAAAAAAGTTTAAAATATCCTGAATTTCAAACCCTCACACTGAATACCCACCAATGGACACATACTGGTTGAGAACATTCAGTGAGCTAAATTGTCTCTTTTTAACCAGTGCATGACCAGTGTGTTTGTTGCACCTGAGAAATCTTTCTTTAAAAACTCAGTTTTTAAGAAATCAGAGCAATCAATAGTAATCAAGTCAATTACAAAGACAGAACCACCCTATTCAAATGCTTCATTTTAAGAGCAGCAGCTGCATTTCTTCTGGGAAAGGTGATTTGAAAAATCAAGATATGACAAGCATACAAATTCTAGTATCTTGTCCCAACCTCGCCATGCTATAAAATAAAACCCTCTCCTCATTGGAGAGGGTGGTTTGTTTTATATCGTTTTAGTGATGGGTACAGAGCTCCCACAATTTATAAAAGAAAACATGCATAACAAGAAATGCTTAAAGTTTTCAGATTTACTCTGTTCCTCTTACTTCAGATCCTCAAAATTCAGCTGTAACCTACAAGTCTTCCTCCCTTCCAAAAGTGACCGGTATCAGGCCACTTACACTCTGAACTTCTCTAACAGACTGGAAGCAGAAAAGAGAGTGGAGTACAACTCCAAAAAGTAAGAGTTGCAGGTTCATAAGTAAATGTTTTAATTTACTTGTTATGAGACAGGAAGTTGTTACCCTGTTCTGGAAATAACCATGGAAAACAAGTCACTTTGAAGAGAAATGTTTGCATTCTGGTGATCTACCATTCCACCCTCTATACCTTGCACTGCTGTTATCACTTAACTCGAATGCCAACCTTTACATTTCTTATGCTGCAAACTATAACCAATTTATTTTGCTCATTTCAGAAAGAAATTAACCACTTCAGACATAAGTAGAATGCACTTCACTTTTTTAAAATCTATGTATTATTTATAATTAATAATTCTGCACGTACAACAAAATTAAAATTAAAATCCCCCCCCAAACTCCTACTCTGAGACTACCAAAATTAAATTTTTCATGTGCCTTCTTCTAGCTTTATCCCATGCAACCATTTACATATAAAATATGTGTAGTTATGGGTATTTACCTAAAGAAAACTAAAATATTAATTCAAAAAGATATATGCAGCCCTATCTTTATTGCAGCATTATTTACAATACCCAAGATACAGTAGTGACCTAAATGTCTGGCAAAAGATGAATGGATAAGGAAGATGTGGTACATGCGCACGAATATTACTCAGCCATAAAAAAAGAACAAGATTTTGGGGCGCCTGGGTGGCTCAGTCGGTTACGTGTCCAACCTCGGCTCAGGTCATGATCTCACAGTTTGTGGGTTCAAGCCCCGCATTAGGCCCTGTGCAGACAGCACAGAGCCTGGAGCCTGCTTCAGATTCTGTGTCTCCGTCTCTCTTCCCCTCCCCCGCTCACACTCTGTCTCTCTCTCTCAAAACTAAATAAACATTAAAAAAAAATAAAAAAAGAACAAGAGCTTGTCATCTGTGACATATGGGTGGATCTAAAAGATATGATGCTAAATGAAGTAAGTCAAACAGAGGCAAGGGACACCATTCTGACTGAGCAACCCAAGTGACAGGAGCAAAAGCAGCAGCGTAGGACGTCCCCATTTCCCCTCGCCCTTCCTTTCTCTGGTTGTCTTCCCAAGCCCTCTATACTCCAGAGCCCTGGTCCGGCCATTTCCCAGAAACAAGAAGATAAGCCTGCAGAGGAGATCACTGAGGAGAAGCAGGACACACAGGGGAAAGGAGGTATTCTCCCAGAGAGAGGCAAGGAGGCAAAGCTAAAGGCCAAATATCCCTTAAGACAAAAGCCAGGTGGCTCCAACTTCATGAAGAGACTCCCAAAAGGGGCGAAGTACTTTGACTCAAGAGACCACAACATGGCCAAAGACAAGATGAAGAATAAGCAGTTGCCAAGTGCAGGACCACACAAGAACCTGGTGACTGGTGATCACATCCCCACTGCACAGGATTTGCCCCTGAGAAAGTCCTCACTCATCACCAGCAAGGCTGTCCCCACTCTCTCTCCTTCTCTCAGCCTCCTTCTCTCTCCTTCCTCACCTGCTGCACTTTTATATAGCCTAAGTTGGAGTGGAGTGAGTGTCTAGTTAGATCTCCTCAGGGTGCCAGTCAGAAATGACTCTAATTCCACTAGGAGCTGCTGAGAAGATGATGTGGGTTGAACAGGGGCTCTGAGTTCCTTTGGTTAAATTGAGATTTTCACACCCTCACTGTAGCCCAGGCAAGGGCCCAGAAATAAGAGACTAGGACTGTATAATGCTATAAATGCTTCCCCACCCCCACCCCCACCCCCGTATGAGAACCTGGGAAGATGTGATTTCTCCTTTTGGAAGAGAATATCCTAAAACTGGTTAGGCTAATAAGCCTTGAGAATAATATGGTAGATTTACAGTCAGAGGCTAACTTGACAATGTTGAGAAAGGTAGACTGAATGAGATCTGTTTTCTGTGCATCCACATGCCCACCGCCCCCCGCCCTTAGGCTGCTATTGCTTTGTATTTCCATTATGGCAGGTTTAGAGAATCCTCAAAAAGAAAGACTGATTTGCTTGCCTAAAACTACAATGCCCACCTAACCTCCCCTAAGGGAGTGTCTCTCACAGTTTTCCCTGCATCATTTACATGAAATGGGCACCTTCTTTCTCTTCTAGCATGTTGCTCTTGAAAGTCTCACGGGACAATGAAAAGAGTGCTGGGTTTGGAGTCAAGATATCTGGGTTCTAGCTGTACTACTTCTTGGCAGAACTGATGTGTAACCTTGGTCAAGTCATTTAATCTCTATGGATTTCTATTTCCTCATCTATAGAAGAGTTGAATATAGATAAGATTGATTCTAATTTCAAAACTGTATGATTACCAGCTGGAAAAAAAAATCTGTACCATGCATTGTACAGCTAAGTGAGGAAGGCCTGTGGGTGAGCCTACAGATGGGAACCATCTGAAGACTAAATGGGGGGAGAAAAAGTTGAGACTTGGGGGCTATATACTCAAGCAAGAGAGCCTCATAACATCGTGGTTGTGAACATCAAAAGTTCTAAGGGGCTAGCTTCTATGGAAGCATCTTACCCTCACTCACGTTCTTGGCCTTTACTGCTAAAAAGCTGCTCTGGCAGCCAAGCTGCGGGCCTGAGGACACATGCTCAGTCACACACATGTGGTGGAGTCCCACATTTGAGATGTAATCAGATGCCAGGTGTATGGTTAAGGAGATAAGAAGAAAAGGCACAAACTGAGCAAGCCTCCGGGCTTTGGTACTATGGCAGGGCTGGAGCAGCAGGTCCCTGGGAGACAATTCACCTTGGAGGAAGCTGAGGGGGGAGCGGGGAGGGTGGGGGAGGTGGTCAGGGAGCGAGAAAGGGAGCATTGAGAAATCAGTCTCTGCCTTCCTAGAGCTCAGTAACTTGACTCCTATGGGATGAGGAGAAGCAGCAATGTGAATTCGTGAGCAGGTGGAGGAGAGGGGTGCAGGTGACCACCACCTTCATCCTACTTATTACTAGTTTGGCCTGAATCCTACTGCTGGTTAGGACAGACGGCCAGAGTAAGAACTAACTGTTTAAGAGGGTACGATTTGTAATCCTCTCTCGTCCTCTCACCTCGCAAATTTTGACAAAAACATCAAACATTGGGCCCAGTGAGAATGACCATGAACTTGTTGATGCACGTGCGGGGTGACAGCACGTGTGTATGCTTCTTCCTGACTGGCCATTCACTTTTCAGGCTATCAGACTGGAGAGGAAAAAGCTGGTGAAGAAGGAAAGAAGAGCAGGATCCCTGGATTCACTGGGTCCCAGACTCCTTGACTATCACTTGTATATACTTTTTGTGTTTCTTGCTCCATTTCCTCATGCTGTCTTCATTAGTGTAAAGTGTGTGGGAAGGGGAAAATGCAGAACATCCTTGTGTAGTTTCCTCAACGGTCCCAGCCATAAACATAAACATGTCATGTTATTATGTATATAAGTATATATACTTGTAAACATAATTTTGTATGTTTTCTTCACCAAAAAAAAAGTCGTCAGACAGAGAAAGACAAACACTGTATGATTTCATTTATATGTGGAATCTAAAAAGCAAACAAATGAACAAAAAAGCAGAAACAGAGCCATAAATACAGACCACAAACTGGTGGTTGCCAGAAAGAAAGGCAGGGGTATGACAAAACGAGTGAAGGAAGTGGGAGGTATAGGCTTCCAGGTATGAAATAAGTTATGAAGGTGAAAGGTAGAGCACAGGGAATACAGTCAATGATACAGTAATAGTGTTGTATGGTGGACAGATGGTAGCTACACTTGTGGCAAGCATAGCTTAACATATAGATTTGTCGAATGCTTGTGTTGCACACCTGAAACTAGTGTAACATCAGTGTCAACTATACGTCAATAAAATAAATTATATGTAGTCTAATTAAAAACTTACATACTGTCTTCTCAATCAACATTTAATTAATGTCCCTATGTTACTTTTGAAAGGGAAAACAAAAATCCCAAACTAATGGCATGTTAAGAGCATAAATTAGGGAACTCTATTATTCAATAATAATTTTTGATTTAGGTAAAAAATTTGACAGCAATGAACAAGCCCGATAATTTTCAAACTGGATACAAAGTAAGCAGCAATGAGTAAAATGAAATCCTGCTTGAATACTTAGGCTATTTCAATCACTTTAAAGCCTCCCCCAAAGTCCATCTGAATTGAAAACAAGAACTATATGACAATATCAAAAAATAATAAAAGTGAAAATGAAAGTACTGTACAGAATAGTTTCTCCCAGCTAACAAAAGTTGGTAACAAAAATATATGAAATATAACAACATTTTCTCCAAAGTTAAGTATCATAAACTGGCATATAAGATTACTCATTTGAATAGGTACCTACAAACTGATTCCTACAAAATAAAGTACACACCTAGCTCTAGAGTCTTATTAAAATATGCTTCTTATATGACAGGTATCATTTTATTTATTGCCATTCTTTATCAATAATGAGGCACAGTACACAAGTAACCATGAAACAAAACTAAACTTGCTTAACTATCTTTCCACTAAGAAATACATATATGTGAAAAGTCACATTGTAATTAATTTTCAGAAAATTAACTTCACCATTAGCTTATAATTTAAGAAATGTTTTACCTATAATTTTAATTCATCTTCAACTGACAAGATTAAGTTCTATTTTTGTCCTTTTCTGTAAATCGACATAGTAATGCATTAAAAGTATACTTTTATTGGGGTGCCTGGGTGGTTCAGTCAGTTAAGGTCCAACTCTTGGATCTGGCTTGGATGAGGACCTGACAGTTTGTGAGATGGGGCCCCATGCTGGGCTCTGCACTGACTGTGTGAAGCCTGCTTGGGATTTTCTCTTTTCCCCCTCTCTTCCACTTGCACACACACACTTTCTCTCTCTCAAACATTTTTTAAAAAGTATTCTTTCTTCTTTTTTTATTGTAGTTGACACACAATGTTACATTAGTTTCAGGTATAAGCCCATGATTAGACAAGTCCCTTTGTTATATTCATCACAAATGTAGCTACAATCCGTCACCATACAATGCTATTACATCATCACAGACTACATTCCCTATGCTGTACCTTTCATCCTTGTGACTTACTCATTACATACCTGGAAGTCTGTACCTTTCACTCCCCTTTATCCATTTCACCTATACACCTACCCTCTCGCCTCTGGCAATCACCAGTTTGTTCTTGGTATTTGAGTTTGTTTCTGCTTTTTATTAAAAGTATTCCTCTTTTGGGGGGCACCTGGGTGGCTCAGTTGGTTAAGCATTCAACTTCAGCTCAGGTCATGATCTCGCAGTTTGTGGGTTCGAGCCCCACATCGGGCTCTGTGCTGACACCTCAGAGCCTGGAGCCTGCTTTGGATTCTGTGTCTCCCTCTCTCTCTGTCCTTCCCCTGCACACACTGTCTCTGTCTCTCAAACAATGAATGTTAAAAAAAATTTTTTTTAATAAAAAAATTTCTGCCTTCCCCACTTGTGATCATCCTACTTGTTTCTCTCACCGATACTTTTATTTAGCAAAACCATTCTGTGAAAAGCACTGCTAATATTGTAATACAAGAGATCTTTGTGAATGAGGTACTAAATGTCCCAAAATATCAAAATCCAGTTAGTATCTAACTCACAAATTCATAAATTGGGTTTGCACTCAAACAGAAAATAAATGATACCATAACCAAAGGTCATTTTTATCTTTGAAAGAGGCAAGGCTGCCTTTTAGGTGCTATGCTTGACTTTTCATATATATTTTAACACAGGAGCAGACAATCAGGTTTATTAGTTCATGCTTCCATACAGAAAATCATGTAACTCAAACTATTCAAGAGCTCAGAATAGACAAAAGTCACAAAAAATCAATTGTTTAACACTTTGCCTAAAGACAGAAAATATGTACTATTTTCCAAAGAAAATGGGATCTCAAATAATTGTGACTTTCCAGTGAATTTCTGTAATTCAGTGGTTTTAAGCCACAATGGTTTTTAAATCATAACCCTGGTAATATATATTTACATCACAACCTATTATACATTATTTTCATTTACATATGTAACTCAAAGGTTTCACAAACAATACTTGCCCTTAATATCTGTGATGCACTGATTAGTTTCTATTCTACTCAATTTTTAACGGAATCATGACCCATTAAATTGATTTCTCTTACCACTTATGAATCAGAACACTTGGAAAAAGTGCTTTAGAAAGTATTGTTTCAACCAGTAAGTTGTTTACTCACCATAACATGATTATAAACACCATATCCTGAAATGTTGTGGCCTTCTATTATAAAAATCATATTTACTGATTCTTTTAGTAGTCAACATAAAAATGTTTAACAAAAGAATTATTTTAGGGGCGCCTGGGTGGCTTAGTCGGTTAAGTGGCCGACTTTCGCTTAGGTCATGATCTCACGGTTCGTGGGTTCAAGCCCCGTGTCGGGCCTTGTGCAGACTGCCAGCTCAGAGCCTGGAGCCTGTTTCAGTCTGTGACTCCCTCTCTCTCTGACCCTCCCCTACTCACGCTGTCTCTCTCTCTCTCCTAGAAATAAATAAAATATTAAAAAAAAAAGAATTATTTTAGAATATTATCAAGGGGATAGGAAAGCCACAATTAGACCAGAAAAGATGCTCAATAGTTTCATAAATTAGAAAGATCTGTGTGGCAATATCAATTGATTAAGTTATGTTCAAGGGTGCTTAAATTCCATCCGTTTCAAGAGTTTAGACATTCCTTCCATAACTTCAAATAAACTGCAAATGTGTTAAGTAAATCTTTTCTTTAGAGATAATACAAAAATAATTAACACTCAACTGGGAAGGATACTATATCAAATCAAAGGGAGAATTCCTTATCCAAACTGCAGATGCCTTAAAGAGAGACAAAGCCACATTTCCAAACAAATATTCAGGATTATGATTTGAAGGGGAAAAAAAATATTTAACATGTAAAAGGGGGATTGATGATAAAGTAGAAAAACAATAAATACTTATGGAATGGAAAAAATATACTATGATAAAATTAACTTTTCCTGGTTTTTTAAGACTGTAACTAATAATCTCAGATAAAGAGAATCCAAGAGAGCATTTTTGGTCCATTGTACCTCAAATCATAACACTAGAGTCGATCATTTCTTAGTGCCTCCCAGAACATTTCTTTTAAATGTCGTAGTGATTCTGGCACAAGAAAATCTTGGGATGATAAGGGTCTTCAGGTCAAAGGCACTTTAAGGTTAACAAAGTAGCATACTGCACATTTGCGGGGTGAGGGGGAATGACTCCAAATGGCCTAAAATGATTTCAGCCAGGCCAAACCAGGATTCTAGATGTCAAAAAATAAAAATAAAAACAAAATCTTCCCATTTCAAAGAGAGGCATTTTGGTTAAGGTGCAAGTTGTTACAAAATGCAAAACCAGCCAGCTTGGATACTCTTCCACATATTTGCAAATGGCTGATATATACATTTCTTATTCTAACAATATGGAGAAACACTATTAGTTGTGTATAATTAACTGGAAAACTTAATAATTTAATGGTTTTTTAGTAACTCTGACTTTGCATACACTCATTTCCTTTCCCTTCTTATTTATTCCCTTTCTCTCAAACAGCCAAGGCGTCTTTTTATAAAGAAAAGAGGAAAAAAATCTGAAGCGACAGTAGTTAGTTACTTGGGCATGTGCTCACCATTTGGCAGAATATTTCATCAGAAGCAAACAGTCATCAAAGTGAGCTTTAAACTAGCACCCACAGTTCCTAACCTAGTACTCTACTATTTCAACAAGATTTTTAAACATGTTTTTACTCATTTCAATTGTATGTAAACAAGTTCCAACAAACTCTCTTTTCCACCACATACATTAATTTTGAAAAGCAATTTTGGAAAAAAAAATAACTTAATGGGACACAACAGCTGTTTTTAAGGTAATTTTTCCATCTTTTAAAAGTACATTGTATACTTCATGGTATACTTTAAAATGGTATTGAAAATCACAGCGACTTTGGCCAAAATAATCTTCATGTTGTCCTATACACCTCATGCCTCCATACTTTCATTCAGGAATGAAATCCACAAACATATTGTAAAGTTCAATGACGTTTTTCTGTACTTCAAAAAACATGAAATGCTACTTCCACAAGCAGGATGTTACTAATCATTCCATTCAAATGATGTCAAATGTAGTTGAGGACATTAAGAATATGGGGGAAAAGATAAAGAAGAAAAAAGAGCATTTTCTTTACACACTGAAAATATCCTCTTAATGTTTTTAAAAACAAAAAGCAAAAAT